TCGTTACACTGTGTCACGACATGATATGACACACATCAGCATAACTCCAAAATTAGATCATTAGGCCAAGTAGGATTTATCCTCATTGGGAATTTTCCATTCTAGTTTAAAGCATGTGTTGTAATGAAAAGGACTTTTTCATGGGCCAGCCCCATAGCCATATCCCACATGGCCAACTACGTAGTTCCAATCCTGGGCCTAGCGCTTGAAATGGCACCAGATGCATGTACATCTAAGCCCTAAAATCCGGACAAGATGGGGAAATGGACAAGAAGCGATTGCAGCACGATCACACTTCATTGGGGGAATGCTTTCTTATTCTCCCTCTCCCTCTCTGTCTCTGGAGAGTGTATGCATCTGCTAGCAGATTTTAAAAAAATAATAGAACAGAATTTTAAAATCTTATTGAAAACTTTGTGTGTGTGTGTGTGTGTGTGTGTGTGTGTGTAAGTGTGTGTCAGAAGTTATGTGCACTCACTAGAGAAAAAGAGAGTGAGTGAGAAAAAAGCCCCCATGGGGAATAGTTACAAGGCAGTGGGCAAACACGCACAAACACTCCCTCATGCTCTCATGCTCCATAAGCCAAGCAGGTCAGAGACTAGAGCCGCATGGTTGACTCCCTGGGACCCAACCACCACATCATGGGCTGGCCCCATCCACTCATTCTAAGTAGCATGTTGTTCTATGTCAAAGGCAAGGCATTAGGCATCCTTCTGTGGGTACAGGATCCAGTGTACATCAAAAGGGGGAAAACCCTATTGCTCTGCCCCTAAGATATAGTCTAAGTTTTTTTTTTTTCTTTTTTTGGAGAGGTTTTTGCTATAGGGCATGTGCGCTCACCAGACAGAGAGAGACAGAGAGATAGAAAGCGAGAAATCACCCCCCCAGGGGGGGATGGCTACACCGCAATCCCCTCTCCTCCATTCTCCTCTTGGGATCTTGGGCATGCACACACACACACCCGGCGTGAGTTTAAGCCACCGGGTCCAGGACTCGAACTGCAATTGACTATGTGGGAGTCCAGTGACATAGCCATTACGCTAACTGCTGGTCCTGATATAGTCTAAGTTTTAACAGAAGAAATAGGGAGCCATGATGGAAGGGAGATTCCTAAAGTGAGAGAACCAGGCTTGGCGTAAGACGAAAGAGAGGGATGAGAAATGTGGATCTGGTGGGTCTTTCCCATATGTAGGCTTTTTCCTTTTTAGGTTTGTTTCTTTGATAAGTGAGAGACAAAGAAGTACAGAGACAGTCAGAGGAAGCTCAGACAAGATCTTCAGTTGACCATCTACCCCTAGGCTTGACCTCCAGGATCATGGGCACACATGCATGTGCCCAGAGGGCACAGGGACACTTTGGGCCATGAACCCAGCACCTTCCGATGTGAGTTCAGCACTGAGGAGCATTGCGTTACCACTACACCACTACAGCTGACCTAAGCGCACTTTAAAAGCACCATATGAGCTGAACAAAACCTGTCTGCAGGTTATTTAATATTTGCCATTCTACAACTTCTGGGTTGTAGAAGAACTTGTGGACTCAGCGTTCAAAGAAAATATGGAGCCAGGGGACCAGCAGTTAGTGTAATGGCTATGTCGCTGGACTCCCATGTAGTTGACCGTGGTTCGTGTCCCGGATCCGGTGGCTTAAAGCTCACGCCAGGTACGTGTGCGTGCGTGCCCAAGATCCCAAGAGGAGAATGGAGGAGAAGGGATTGCAGCGTGGCCATCCCCCCTGGGGGGGTGATTTCTTGCTTTCTGTCTCTCTGTCTCTGTCTGTCTGTCTGGCGAGCGCACACGTCCTATAGAAAAACCTCTCCAAAAAGAAAAAAAAGCAGGTCAGAGACTAGAGCCGCATGGTTGACTCCCTGGGACCCAACCACCACATCATGGGCTGGCCCCATCCACTCATTCTAAGTAGCATGTTGTTCTATGTCAAAGGCAAGGCATTAGGCATCCTTCTGTGGGTACAGGATCCAGTGTACATCAAAAGGGGGAAAACCCTATTGCTCTGCCCCTAAGATATAGTCTAAGTTTTTTTTTTTTCTTTTTTTGGAGAGGTTTTTGCTATAGGGCATGTGCGCTCACCAGACAGAGAGAGACAGAGAGATAGAAAGCGAGAAATCACCCCCCCAGGGGGGGATGGCTACACCGCAATCCCCTCTCCTCCATTCTCCTCTTGGGATCTTGGGCATGCACACACACACACCCGGCGTGAGTTTAAGCCACCGGGTCCAGGACTCGAACTGCAATTGACTATGTGGGAGTCCAGTGACATAGCCATTACGCTAACTGCTGGTCCTGATATAGTCTAAGTTTTAACAGAAGAAATAGGGAGCCATGATGGAAGGGAGATTCCTAAAGTGAGAGAACCAGGCTTGGCGTAAGACGAAAGAGAGGGATGAGAAATGTGGATCTGGTGGGTCTTTCCCATATGTAGGCTTTTTCCTTTTTAGGTTTGTTTCTTTGATAAGTGAGAGACAAAGAAGTACAGAGACAGTCAGAGGAAGCTCAGACAAGATCTTCAGTTGACCATCTACCCCTAGGCTTGACCTCCAGGATCATGGGCACACATGCATGTGCCCAGAGGGCACAGGGACACTTTGGGCCATGAACCCAGCACCTTCCGATGTGAGTTCAGCACTGAGGAGCATTGCGTTACCACTACACCACTACAGCTGACCTAAGCGCACTTTAAAAGCACCATATGAGCTGAACAAAACCTGTCTGCAGGTTATTTAATATTTGCCATTCTACAACTTCTGGGTTGTAGAAGAACTTGTGGACTCAGCGTTCAAAGAAAATATGGAGCCAGGGGACCAGCAGTTAGTGTAATGGCTATGTCGCTGGACTCCCATGTAGTTGACCGTGGTTCGTGTCCCGGATCCGGTGGCTTAAAGCTCACGCCAGGTACGTGTGCGTGCGTGCCCAAGATCCCAAGAGGAGAATGGAGGAGAAGGGATTGCAGCGTGGCCATCCCCCCTGGGGGGGTGATTTCTTGCTTTCTGTCTCTCTGTCTCTGTCTGTCTGTCTGGCGAGCGCACACGTCCTATAGAAAAACCTCTCCAAAAAGAAAAAAGAAAATATGGAGCAGAAGGTAGCATGATGGTTAAGGTGCTATATACTCACATGGCTGACTGCAGTTCAAGTCCCAGACCTGGCAGCTTAAAAATCATACTAGATGCCTGTGCACGTGTGCTCAAAGCCCAGGAGGACAATGGAAGAGAAGGGATTATGGTGTGCCTCTTCCCCTCCCCCAGCCCCAGGGAGGGTAAGAACTGAGTAATACTGAGTATTTAGCAAATGGCAGGACCACACTGGGCACTGGGAATAGATACACAGTTATAAAACGTGACTCTGCCCTCCAGGTCTGCTCATGCCTGGGTCATGTTTGGAGCTGGGATTCAGTGCAGTGTCCCTAGAGCTCCAGCCACATCACTCTGCCCCAGCTGAAAAGAGGCTGCCATTGAACTTCACTGCAAAGATCCTGTCCCTCATAGAAATGCATTTTTTTAACTTGGTGAATTCATTTGGGAGAAGAGGAGGAAGACACTGTAGAACTAAAACAGGGAAGGTGAAAGGTAATTTTGGGAAATAAATGAGTTTCTAAGGAACTGTAATAAATTTATAATTCTAGTGAAAGGGAAGGAATGGGGACTGTGGCATAGGTACTGGTTTATGCAAAAATTACAGGTGCCAAATTATTTACTCTGGACATTCTGGTATTGGTAGTTAATGAGTTGTCATTGTAGCATGGGCAGCTGATCTTTCATTTCTTTTTATCTCAGCATTATAATGACTAGTTCTGAGAAAGGTGTCTAACAGGCTGTTACTTCAGTGATAGATTAAATACTGCAATATTTCCAGACATGTGTATTGTAAAAGTATTTCATCACTAATTTCTACAAATCCTTTCTTAAACTTAAAAAAAAAAAAAACAGATTGTCAGAGGACATGTGCATTCACCAGAGACATGGTGCATGGTGGGGGTGGGAGGAGTGAGAATCCACCTTCCATGGGAAATGGTCACACCACTATCCCTTCTCTGTTTCCCCCTCCTTTCAGGATTTTGGGCGTGCATGCAATATGCACCCAGCATGGTTTTGCTGCTGGGACTGAGACCAACCATGCTGTTGGCCATGTGGGATCCTGCCACCTTCACCACCACACCATAGACTGGGTTCTTCTTAAACTTTCTGAAAAAGGAAAAGAATTAATTAGACCAAGTAACTCAGGAAATTCACATCCCATTATGTTGCTGGTATTAACACTTAAATCTCTCTTCAGTCCCTAACCTGGCCTGTTCCATCATGCAGAACTAACATTATATTTTGATGATAACATCAAGGGACACCTTAAAGCTGTGGTTTTGTAGTTCTTCCTTATGAAATACGTGGGGAAGAGTGAATGTACTCTGAATTTTATTGGACCTGAAAAGTGCCTGTGTGCCATTGTCGTGAATGGAACAAAGCAGAAATATAACACGGGTCTTAGGCAGTGACCAGCTGGGCATGCAAGGTGAGTCACTGTGCCTCCAGGGAGGAACGTAGTGAGCACGGGTCACAGGTCCCACACCATGCCAGCAATGAGGGGACCTCAAGAATGTAGCACCCCTTGTTCTCAACAAGTGATAAAAACCAAAATGCCTGGGGCTGGCCAGGCCTTCTGGGGAAAAGAGGAACTGGGTTGTGTGTGCCCCTTCTTAAAATGCTCCAAGTTCAAAATGTTAGCAGATGATGTTCAGATCAGAGAGGCAGCCCATTGGCCACAAATGTGCATCTCCTGGTATTAAATCTTCCAAAAGAGGGCACATTGAGTTAAGTGCAAGGTCTTACCCTTATCTGAAAGAGTTGAGTCAATCTGAAGTATAATATCTTTTGAAAACTAATGTACCTTTAAAGGTATATAACACTGACCATGGAATTGCCAAGAATTCAAATAAACAGCTCTTTAATAATATTTTATTACAGAATTTCACCAAGAACTTAAGCATCTAGCTGTAAAGATAGAAGGCATTGAAGTTTATTATCATCTTTGATACTAGATGATTTCTGATACCTACCTCTAGCACAACCTAAGTCAGAACAGTTTTGTTCAGTTTCAGCTGGCCCAGGGGTCAATTCTGACAGAGGATTTGGCATGCTACTAAGTGACTGGCTGTTGAGATCCTACTTCCTTTTCCTTTTCTTTCAAACAAGGAAAATAGGGACTGTGCATATCAAAAATCAAGGTCTCTAGGAAGTGGAGGGTTTGGGACAGTCTTCTTGGACACTCGATTGCAAACACATGGAAGGTGGCGACTAGAGCAGCCACGGCTGTCACACAGTCGTCCACCTTCGTAAGCCTCTCTTTTTCCAAAAATAAAGAATATTCGCAGACATCGATGTTGAAAGGGTTTTTCACTTCTAACACGGGCGTGGACACTTGCACCTGAAAAAAAAAGGATGCAATCACGACTCCACGATACATAAAACAGCTAAATGTTGCTGAACTCAGTTATGATTGTACAGTAAAGGAGCTTGTTGCAATTTGGCCTGTTTATACATAGGGTAAAACAGTCTGCCATCCTGCTTGTAAATAAATTATTGTATGAATGTGTAAAAGGCAAACCAGTGTCCACTGACATATACTGCATACCTTCTCGTTCACAACGACAAAGAGGCTGGGATCATCTCCGAAAACATCTGGGAGGAGTAAACACGTGGCTGTCATTTTCATATCTGTCAAAGCAAACATGGTTACAGGCCAAGTAAAAATGAGCTTTTATCAGTTGTAAACAAAGCTAGTATTAAAACATCTGGAGTTTTGGCTTTTCAGTTGTTCAACTTACACAGAAAAGACGCTAGCCTCTTTAGGTCAGTGTTTCAAAAACTTTTTTTTTTTTTTAGGTTTCTGCTATAGGGTACGTGCACTCACCAGAGAGAGACAGAGACAGTGAGAGGGAAAGTGAGAAATTACCTCCAGGGGAATGATTATGTCACAATCCCTTTTCTTCCATTCTCCTCTCATGATCTTGGGCATACATGCACACAGGCCCAATGAGATTTTTCAAGCTGCCAGGGCCAGGACTCGAACCATAGTTGGCCATGTTGGGGCCATGTGGGTCCATTGCCTTAACTATCACACCACCTGCTGGCCTTTTCACAAATTTTTTTAACTGATGTATTTTCTAATAAAATACTCCAAATTTTCATGTCCACATCACTACCAGGAAAGAATTTGTATCCTATAAATTAGGTAAGATAATGATTACCTTGTGATTGATGTTATAAAATTAAGAGATCACCAGTTCCCTGAGTATAATTTTACAATATCAAATGTACTTTTTAAAATCTAAACCTTTATTCCTCCCTCCTATTTTTTTCTTTTAAACATTTGTTAGATGTTCCATACACTCACTGGAGAGAGAAAGAGAGAGGGAAAGTGAGAAAGACAGCACTCCCCATGAGAGATGGCCATATTACAATCCCTTCACCATTTCCACTTTCAGGATTTTGGGCCCACATGCACAGGTGCCTGGTGTGTTTTTGAAGCAGTCAGCCATGTGGGATCCATTTACCTTAACCTCCACACCACAGACTGGCTTTTTCTCTTTGATTTTCTTTTTCCTTTCCCAGTTGTTTTAAGTGAATCTCACTTATTACCGAAGCAGAACGTCCTCTAAACACAGTATCCCTCAATGATTCAGATAACAGAGCAGATCCCCCCACCCTGTTTTACTAACATTTCAACATGTCTTCATCTGTGTACTCTTTCATCTTTGCTTGCAACGCAATATTGATTGGATTATCTGCCACCGAAAAAGAAGTCAGTATGTTTTCTGAATAGGATTCCAAAATGTGCCTTGTTTTCTTATAAATATCTGTTCTTGTAAGAAGTTGGAATTCTCTGAACATCTGATAAAAGAAAGAAGCAGTAAGTATGTTAGATCACAAGAAAAGTTAATGCATACAATGTACAGAAATAACTAGAACTACAGTAGGCTTTGGATGCTACATACTAGCTATTTTAATAGCTTTATTAGAGAAGTAAAGACTTAGCTTGGGAGAGGAGAAAAATAATGAGAGCCTAAAATAAATAGGAAAAGATAAAGGACATGGAAAAATTCAAGACCCATTGAATTAAAACACTGGATGTCGCCTCAACCGAATGGGGACTCTAAAGTCTGTATGCCTATGCTAGCTCTTTAGGTTTCCTACCCAAGATTCTAGCACATACATTTGTTACTGTATTTTGTTAATTTGTTTTCTTTTTCTTAAGTAGATTCTCTCTGTGCCAGTCCTGTCTCAGCCTCTTGAGAAGCTAGGACCACAGCATGCCTGGCTCTTTCTGACAGTCTTGCTGTGTTGGCCAGGCCAGCCTCAGCCTTCCCAAGTCACTGTGTTTACTGGTGCACATGGCAGTGCCTAGCCTTTAAATTGAACTGGGAACTAAACCTGGGCCTCCCATGTGGTCCCCATGTGGGGCGCACAGCATTTTATCAGTGATACCACTGCAGCTGCATCTTAGGCTCTTAATTTCTTTAGGTAAATTACATTGAAATTATATTGTTGGGACCAGCAGATGGCATAATGGTTACATCACTGGACTCCCACATAGTCAAAGACAGTTTGAGTCATGAATCAGAGCCTTGAAACACAGCAGGTGCGTGTGTGTGCGTGCCCAAGATCCTGAGAAGGGAATGGAAGAGAAGGGATTGCGGCATGGCCATCCCCCATCCCCCACCCCCCATCCCCTGGGACCCAGGGGCGATTTCTCTCTTACTGTTTCTCTGTCTCCCTTTGTCTCTCTGGCAAGCACATGTGCCATATAGTAAATATCTCTCTTAAAAAAGAAAAGAGAAGAAATTGCATTGTTATGTTTTAGCAGGCCAATACAAAAGAATAAAAAAAAAACCTATTACATTTTAATAAGCAACTCTTGAAAAATAACTAGCCATAGTATCTTTTTTTTTTTTTTTATAGTTTTTTTGGCTATAGGGCACATGCACTCGCCAGAAAGACAGAAAGCAAGAAATCACCCCCCCCCAGGGGGGATGGCCATGCCACAATCCCTTCTCTTCAAGATCTTGGGCACGTATGTACACACACCCAGCGTGAGTTTAAGCCACTGGGTCCGGGACTCGAACTGCAGTCGACTACATGACAGTTCAGCGACATAGCCATTACACTAACTGCTGGTCCCTAGCCATAATATCCTAAAGAGGAAATGGGGGTTGATTAGAGACTGTAAAATCAGATGGAGGTTAACAGTGAAAGAAAAGCAATGTTTAAATGCAGATTAGGCAAATATCTTTGGCTATGTCAAAGAAAAACCAATTTACCTTTATAGAAGCCCTTTAACTTAAAACCACCTTTTTCTAACGCTGCCTGAATTCTCCCTCTCAGAGAATTCCATCACTGCTGTCCTCTCCCCCTGTTTTGACAGATTGGCATTATGAGGTTACAAGTCAGTCATACTAATAGGGAGTAAGTTAATCATGGCTTTCCCCAAACTGTAAAGAACAGCTACAGACTACCCACTGGGACTCACTGTTCACTGAGTATTTTGGTAGAGCATAAGTTGCCCTAAGATTAGGTCCAAAAGTTAAATGTCAAAAAGTTGGAATAGGGACCAGCAGATGGCATAATGGTTATGTCGCTTGACTCCCACAGAGTCGACCATGGTTCGAGTCCCAGCCTGGCGGCTCGAAACTCATGATGAGCACGTGTGTCTGTGCCCCAAATCCCAAGATGAGAATAGAGGAGAATGGATTGCAGTGTGGCCATTGGCTCTGGGTGGTTGATTTCTCACTTTTGGAGAGCACACATGCCTTACAGCAAAAATCTCTCTTAAAGGTATAGTGGCATAGTGGCTCTGTTACCAGGCAGCTCTCAGGGTCCCCACTCATCTAGATGGGTATCCTTAGGAAACGGTTTGCTCAGCCGGAAGACATGAAGTGAAGCATGAAGAAGGAGAAATTCTGCTATTGAGGGTCCATCACCTCGGAACTTCCTTTTAACTTTTTATTTTGAAATAGTTTCAAATTTACATTAAAACTGCCAAAGTAGTCAATAAAATTTACAAATGCCCTCATGCAGCTTCCCCAATTTCTGATCCACTGAAAAATAAGCTGGAGATGTGATTTCTCCTTAATTCTTCATTGTGCATTTGCAAAGCACACGAACGCTCCAAATCAAGAAAATCAAATCCACAGATCCTATTCAAATTTGCCAGTTGCTCCAATCATGTTCCTTAGAGGTTCAGGATCTGACCCAGGATCACATGAGATTTTGATACTATGTCTCTTTAGTCTCTGTCTGAAACAGCATCTAGTCTCCTTGACATTTTTGAAAAGCCAAGGTCAATTATTTTGTAAATGTCTCTTAGTCTAGGCTTGGGTGATATTTCCTTATGATTATGCATTTTTGCCAACGATGCTGGCGTTTCTCACTTTAACAGAAAGCACAGATGGTACTGGTCTCAATATTGGAGATGTTAAGTTTTATCACTTGGTTAAGATGGAACCTGCCAAATTTCCCCTGTAAACTTAATTATTATATGTTGTCAGTATTTCATGGGTAGATATCTTGAAGTATGTAAATATCATGCTCCTCATGTAACAGTCATTTGCCAGATTTAGCATCTATTAGTGATTCTTGCTAAAATCAGCTCTCACTATGGTCGTTGCCAAATGGTGACTTATCTAATTCTATCCTTCCTAAACTTTAATTGATTAGCTTTCTACTTTAGGATAGAGCTGTCTCTTCTCCCACATTTATTTACTTATCATTTATTCAAGATAAATTTCTATTTTATTCAAATGGCTACCAATCTGATCCTTTCATTATTTTACCGATGCTCAAGTTGTCCAGATTTGGCCAATGGAAGCCACTTCAACCTGACTCTCATGTCCTCCTCACATTGTTTTCCCTTTTTCCTGGAGGGTAAATACACTTGCCACAGAGAGACAGAGAGGAGAAACCACCCTTCCCATGGAAAATGATCACACTATAATCCCTTCTCCTCTATGTCTCCCTCCTTTTGGGATTTTAGGCCTGCATGCACACATGCCTGGTGTGTTTCTCAAGCCACCGGATCTGAGACTCAAACCATGCACTTGGCCATGTGAGATCTGGCTGCCTAGACCATGAGGCCAAGGAGCCAGCCCGTCTTGACATACCTTATTGATCTGTAAGCTTCTCCTTAATTTCTGGCATTACACAATATTTCAGGTTCATCTTGGGTTTGTTTTTGGTTTTGCCTCTCCCTATAATCAGCTATTTCTCTAATAGCCCTTGTTTCATTTAATGGAGAATGGTATTTAGAAACAGAGTTCAGTCCTGGATGTATTTCTTTCTACAGAGTTTATTTCTGTAGGCTTTCTCATAGAACAAAGCAAGTAAATACATATTTACAGAGCCATGAACTCAGACCTAGATTGACAAACATCTATAACTTCCTATATCTATATATAAATAATTTTATTATGTTTTATTTTACACATTTAATCACTATGTATCACTTTGCTTCTAAGATGAATTTACCCTATATGAATATACTTCACACCAGTCCAGTTGAGGATACTAAACACATTATCAGCAACAGATAATAACCCACTTCTGTGTCCCATAAATGTCCTGCCAAAAACCGTGCATTTACATTGCTACCTTCAGTTCCATACTCACACCACAGGGCTTTTCCTAACCTCCCCCCTTTGCATGCTTCTAAGTCTTCAACAGTGAGAGCCCTGGCTCCCATTATCCTTAGTGTCTTTAATTATTGGTAAAATCTCTCCCATGTCCTTGTAACCCAACTCTTCACTGTGAACAGTCAACCACAGAAAAGCCACCTTCTAGGTTTTATACCACCAGTTTTTAATCTGTTCTTTTAAGAATTGTTTATTTAATTTTATTATTGTTATTTTTTTAATTTGCTATAGAGCATGTGTGCTCATTAGAGAGAGACAGAAAGTGAGAAAGCAAGTCGCCAATTCCAAGACTCAAACTGTGGTCAGTCATGTGGGAGTACAACACCATAACCACCATGCCACCTACTGGCCCCAACCCATTACTAATCTTAATCCTGTTTCACTATATTACTAAGATTGGATCATTTCTATTATCTATCTTCAAGAACATAAACTATTTTATATTCCAGTATGCTGTTAAGACTATCCAGTGATGGGGAACTAGCTGATGGCATGGTGGTTAAGGCTCTGAACACTCCCACGTGGCAAACCATGGTTTGAGTCCTGGACCTGGTGGCTTGCTTTTTCACTTTCTTTCTCTCTCTCTCTCTGGTAAAATTCAAATAAATGAATAATATATATATATATATATATCCAATTTCTTCCTGAGATTTCCCCACAGTGATAATACATGGAATTCACCGAACTTACCATGTTCTCCATCCTGAAGCTGCTGGTTCAACAGAACAGAGGAATGGCCTTTTGAAGACTCAGCTGGGTGGCACTACCTTACAGGGCTAGGGCAAGGTCTGTAGGGCTGTATTTGCTCTGAATCAGCATTCAGCCTGTGGCACCATTTCTTCCACAGCCAGGATTCACAGGACCAAAAATCAAGGTGTGAAAACTGGAGTGATACCACTCACCATTACTAGTGAGCCACACTGAGGAATCCGTATTAAATTATGTTTCTTCAAAGGGTGTTAAATTTTGTTTTGGCAGGTAGTGAAATTACTACCTGCCAATACCTATTTGGCAATTGCTTTTAGGCATAAGAGAACAGGCATCGTAGGACTCTGATCCTTGGTCAAAGGGAAACACGTAAGATGTGTCTTAACTTTCTACTTTAGGATTAATTTTCTAGGTCAGTTGCCAGTCGGTCAATCCTCTGGTCCTATCATCTTGATTTCATCATTTGTTTCAGTTGCTCTATTTTAGTTTTTGTCTTTAGTCCTAGAGGATGGTGCTGGCTCAAGGGTAGGCATGGGTCTCACTCATGGAATTTCTGGAGTTTCAAGTGGATGTCCAAGGTGCTCAGCATAGTCTCTTCACTCTGGATCAGAATTCTTACTATTGGGGCCAGCAGGTGGCATGGTGATGAAGGTGCTGAATTCCCACATGATGACCACGGTTTGAGTCCCAGACTTGGTGACTTGCTTTCTCACTTTCTCTCTTTCCTTCTCTCTCTCTCTCTCTCTCTGGTGAGAGAACGTGCTCTATAGCAAATTTTAAAAAATAATCATTTAGGGGGACCAGCAGTTGGCATAATGGCTATGTCGCTGGACTGCCATGTAGTCAACCACAGTTCGAGTCCCAGACTTGGCAGCTTAAACTCACGCCAGGCACATGTGCATGCGTCCCCAACATCCCAAGAGGGGAGTGGAGGAGAAGGGATTGCAGTGTGGCCATCTTCTCTAAGGGGTGATTTGTCGTTCTATGTCTTTTTCTGTTTTTCTGGTGAGACATGCACCCTATAGCAAAAATACCTCTCTAAGAAACAAAAATAATTTAATTAAAGAATTCTGACAACACTGTATGAAATATCAGCTTTCGGTTTAGTAGCACCTTCTCCGTAAGATTTATTTATTTCTTCAGAGTAAGACAAAGTCAGAGAGCCACCCCAATAGGGTCTTCACACCATGATCCTCCCCATACTCAGCTGACTCAGGTCACAGGCATGCACACACCTAGAGTACTTAGTAAAGTCCCGGAACATAAATCCAGGGCCTTTCCTAGTCATGGTCCACTATGCCACCGGATGATTCCACGTTCTCTCTCTTTAAGGTATTATGGAGTTCTCATTCCAGGTGATCCAGTCTTCAGTCAAGGACCTCTGGGGAACCCGTATGTAGACTTCTGCCCCGCCCCCCCCCAGCACTCTGTCCTGCAAATACCAACCGCTTCCTCATTCTCACACTCCAGTCTCTCTCTGGTCAGCTCAGCAAGACCATTATATTCTGCTTAGTTTCCATCTTTCTGAAATACATGTTTTCTATGTGATGACCTAGAAAATTAATCCTGAAGCAGAAAGCTAAAACAGATCTTATATGTTTCCCTTTGACCAAAGACCAGAGTCTTGCGATGCCCGTTATCTCATGTCTAAAAATAGTTGCCAAGTAGGTATTTTTTTCTAGCTTTACCTGTGTTAATGGTGAAGGACCAGTCAAATACCAATTATTCCATTATGGTCAAAGCTAAACTCATATTCTAAACTGATAATTCTTTTGTGTTTCACTTAAATTTTAAAAGATGGTCAAAATAATTTCTCAGGAAGTAAAACTAACATCTTGAAGGATTTATTAGAAACTTGTGATGTGTTTAAATATTTGTTGTTTATTTTCCTCCTCTCTTCTCAATTTCCTACTTGTCTTATGCCACCACATCCAATAGAGTCCAGTAATCAATTCCTAGTTGAGAATATCTTGGATGGTCTAATAAAGTGAACTTAATTTTTTTTAATTTTCAAATTTTCTGCGGATAATTCTTTAAGGGGAGGATATTACTGATTGAGGAGGTGATGGAGGGTCAGTGTTAACCTGGGACTACTCCCCCCATCAGCTGCTTCTCTTTACAACTGCAGTCACAGCTTCCCAGCTCGGAGCATTTTCATCACGACAGTACCTGTGAGCGGTGAGGGCAGTTGGATAAAAAGCAACTGTCCTACTACAGGAAAAGTTAGTGGGGTATTTGTAGGTGAGCTCAAAGTTAGTTTTATTTTAGGAAGCACAGGAGTTTTATAAATGGTCGATCCCAGACACAGGGATGAGTTAAGGAGGTACTTCTGGAGAAACCAGAAATGTTTCATTCTTTTGTTTAAAACAATAGCAGTAACTTACAATCATAAAAACCATACTTCGATTCATATTTTGGTACAAAGGGTGAAACACCTAAGAAAATGGGGGATGAGAAAGATGCCAGATGCAAGACACAGAGCAAGCAGGGCAGACAGTATTAGCTCTCAAATCCCTCTGCTCCTCACTCAGGCAATGGTGGCTTGCTATCATGTACGGTTCTGGAAAGGCTGCTTAACCACAGCTTATCTGTGTTAATCACTGAGCTTCTATAGGCTGCCCTCCAAAGAAGACCACAGCAGCCTGATCAGCCTTCTACTAATTCATTCAGCATTCAAAAAAAAAGTCAACATTGCAGGGCCTGATGGTGGTCAGTGGTACTGCCATGCTCTTCAAGGCTGATTCATGTGGGAAGGTCCTGGGTTTGCTTCCAGAGACCTTCCTATGACAGACACATGTGTGCCTAGGATCCGGTCTGGCTGAGACCTGGATTCTGCATACCCAGGATATTGCACTGTTAAGACCTGTTAGGGAAGCTGCATCTCTCTTTCTCTCTCTTATGAAAGAAACAACTAGAAAAAGGAATGTTGCTTTACAAAAACATTGCATTTCAGAGCCAGGAGATGGAGTAAGTGGTTATATCACCGGACTCCCACATGGCCGACCACAGTGCAAGTCCCAAACCCAGTGGTTTGAAAATCATACTGGGCATGTGTGCGCACATGCCCAGGACAACAGGAAGAGAGCGGAGAGAAGGGATTGTGGCGTGGCCATCTCCCCTGAGTGATTTCTTATTTTCCCCTCTCACTGTCTCTGTCTCTCTTTCTCTCTCAGGCAAGTGCACATGTCCAAAGGCAAAAAAAAAAAAAAAAAAAAAACCCTTAAGAACAAAAACAAAAACATTGTACTTCTGTTTCACATTTAGTGCCTGCAAGGCACTTTGGGAACTACTGAGACTCAGAACATACTCCCTACATTTAAAGCATGTATAGACTATTAAACAGGTTTTGCTTTAAAACTATATAATAGTAGGTGTGTCAATCTGACATTACCTTTCTAATAACCAAGAGACTACTGGCTGTTACTGTTACCAACAACCGAAAAATTAGGAGAAAACAAGCAAAAAATGAGGTAGTGTTGCTGAGAGGTTTGGATAATTGACCCACATAAAGCCTGAGAATGTGCCTATCATGTAGCAAGGGCTCAGGTGTTTGCCATTAACCTTATTACTAAACTAAAACACATAGGCCCATTTTAATTTCAATTTTTTTGGAGAAAGAGAAATATGCCAAAATTTTCATTTTTGGTTTGGCTGATTGCAGCCACAGAATTCTTCCCTTCTCAGACAAAAACTTGGATTAATCTTTCATTATATATAATCCAGATTAAAATCACACTAAAATTGGATAAGACACCTGAATGACTCTTGTAAACTAAATGGGATGGTATTTGATTTACTCATTAAATTTTATTTAAAGATTTATTCATTTAAGTTAATTATTACTGTTTTTCAATTTGACCAGAGAGAGACAGACAGTGAGAGAGAGAGAGAAGAAAGTGAGAAAGCAAGCTGCCAGGTCTAGGCCTCAAACTGTGGTTGACCATGTGGGAGTTCAGCACCTTAACCACTATACCACCTGCTGACCTCCAAATTTCATTTATTTTTAAGACCACTGTGTGAAATGATCTGGGGGTCATAAAGGAAATAGATTTTTCAGTAATGTTCCATACTAACACTTCCTTAATAAGCTATATATATTTTTTTCTTTTTTAATTTCTTCCATGAGTGAGTGTGAGAAAGGCATCCTCAACAGAGTCTTCTCTCTCTCTTTTTTTTAAGGAGATGTTTGCTATAGAGTACATGTACTTGCTGGAGAGACAGAGAGACAGAAGTGAGAAATCATATCCCAGGGGGATGACCAAGCTGCAATCCCTTCTTATTCTCCTCTTGGGATAGTGGGCACTCATGCACACACACCCAGCATGGATTTCAAGCCACCAGGTCCAGGCCTTGAACCTGGTCAACCACGGGGGAGTCCACTGATGTAAGCATATGCCATCTGCTGATCCCAACAAGATCTTGATGCCGCAGTCCACTCCCAGCTGTGGCCAGATCAGGATTATGAACACGCATGTGCTGGGCATGTTGAGGGAGATCTCCAGACACAAACCTGGAACTTTCCCATGTTAGTCAGTCGCAAAGAGCATCTATTTTATTGCCGTGACTATTTAGCCTCAAACTACCTTGATTATCTAAAAGCATGCAAAGGAACATGAGGCACACTGTCAAAATACTCCTAAGTATGACCCCAGAGCGTCCACAGAAATGTCCAATGGTGGGGAACTCAATGTTGGAGGCAGCTGGTGCCTGTTGAAATATGCCTGCTGAAATTCTTACCAAATGGTCTTAGTTGTAACCCTTGGGCCTCATTGCCTACTGACATTCACAATCGCTGCCATGCTGCATTGTCCCAGTAATCACTCCAAGAGGAAAGGGAAAAATCAAGTTGGACACCGTATTCAGAAAGTATTGTGAGTAGCGATACCTGATAAGGGCACTTCAGAAACGGAAACATTTTAAGAATATCTTTCAGAGGAGTTCTGCTGCCAATCATTTTTCTTCTTATTTCCAATGTCTGGCTCATCCTCTTGTCAATCTCTTTCCAGTCCTTTTCTGTTTTTACATATTCTTGCTGGAACCAGTTAATATGTTCATCTACTTCAGAATCTAAACCAACAACTTCTTCCTGAAAAATGTTTTCAAAATACCAATGAATTCCATGTTTCAAGTGGCAGTTTGATATTTCATGAAAACTGAAATGACAGGCGGTTTTGCATGCTCTTAATAATGCATTCCTAAGTGAGCATCACCAAGTGGTCAAAAAATGGACGGTCTTGAATGAAGGCTAATTACTTACCATGAGTTTATAGTATGTCCTCTTGACAAACTTACAAGGGTTAGTTTCATTCTTTTTTTTAAAAATAATTATTCATTTAATTTTATCATTATTAATTTAATTTGCTATAGAGCATGTGTGCTCACCAGAGAGAGAGAGAAAGAGAGAGAGAGAGAGACAGAGGGGGAAAATGGGCAAGTAAGTCCCAGGCCTGGTACTCCAATTGTGGTTAGTAATGTGGGAATCCAGTGCCTCAACTACCATGCCACCTGCTGGCCCCCAAAGTTACTTTTTTTTTCAATGATTGATTTAATTTTTATTAATTTCTCCTTCTTCTTCTTCTTTTTTTTTTAATTTGACCAGAGAGAGAGAGAGATACACACAGAGAGAGAGAAAGTGAGAAAGTAAGCCACCAGGTCCGGGACTTGAACCACAGTTGGCCATGTGGGAGTGTCCAGCACCATAACCACCTCGCCACCTGCTGGTCCCCCCTCAAAGTTACTTTAATTCTTATATTGCCCTGGTATAAGAAAACTTAGAAAGTGTGCATTTTATTTCCATGTACTTAATGTTTAAAAGAGAAAGCATTGAAAAGAGAGAAAAAGTTTTTAAATTAAGGTTTCATTATTGCTATTGTCTGTCTTTCTATTTAAGTGCTTTTTTTTAATAGCTGTAGTATCATGCCAAGTACTCCAAATTTGGAGTATTAATTCAAATAAAATTCAATAAAATAATAATACGTATTTTGTGATGCTAAATAATTATCATGTCATTTTTACTCACTGCACATTTGGCAGGATAGAGATGCTAGAAAATATTTCACACATTCTTGTTGAAAATCTAAGACAATCAGTCTTCAGGAAACAAGAAAAACATTATTTCCTAGAACAACTAGTTAAGTGGAAACTTGGCTGAATTGACCTAACATTCACCAACATCTCTCTGTCCAGAATGTGAACAGATGTTACCTGTCAAAAGATAAGGAACCAAAAGTTCTCTTATATCAAGGCTTTTACAAGCACACTAGAAAAGCTTCAGGTAGACCAACTTTCTATAAATACTGGGTGACTAACCAGACATAGATCAAGGGAACAAATTCCTGAAAATAGATTAAAAAGAAATTGCTGGAGTCTGGAGGTAGTGCAGTAGCAGCACAACTGGGCCCACATGGGAAAGGTCATTGGTTGAAGTCTTGAGGCCTCCTTAAGCACACTGGGGTATGAGTACTCATGACTCTGCCTGCTGAGACTGGGAACCGATCATGGCGTGAGACCCTATAGGGGTTCTTGCCTCTCTCTCTCTTTCAGTGCGTCTCTAACTCTCATAAACTAAATAAATGTAACAGAAAATAAATTATTTTAAACTGACATAAATCTTAATCTTACGTAAAATTGGAAGATAAAAATCTTTCCATGAAGAAAATAACTAGACCTGAAATTTTTACAAATGCTACTTTTGAAACAGAGACTGTTTCAAACTTATGCAAATGCTTTCAGTACATTTTTTTTTTTAATTTAAAAAGGAGTGTTCTCCAACCAATTCTATGAAGGTTCCATGACATCAATCCCCAAACTGGAAAGAAAAGAGCAGGCCACTTTCCCTGATAAACAAAGTTGCAGATATGAGGAACAAGGAATATCTGTTTTACATTTACCCAGAAATGCAAAGATGTTTTGATATTAGTGAGAGAACTACATAGTAAACTAAAAGGAAATATGACTGATTTACCCAGTACATTTTACAAACTGAAGTTTCAATTTGGGATCACTGTTTCAGAAATATTTGGGACAGAAAAAGAGATTTTTGAGAAACATTAAGTAACAGTTCTGTGATTGACTCTGATCATATACATATGTGTAAATATCATATTAATGATACTACATTAACTAATGAAAGATAAAAAATATTTTTTTCCAAATAATGCAGAAAAAAAGCATTTTATACGATTTAACATCCCTCTATGATTAATAGAAAGCAATACTGTCAAGAACTGACCCTCTGGGAGGGAGCCAGACTCTACATAACTGACGACACTATTCAAATCCTGGTCCCAGTGGCTTGAAAAACATGGTAGGTGCATGTGTGAGCATGCCCCAAATTCTGACAGTATGAAGCAATGGAGGAGTAGGGATTGTAGTATGACTATGCCCACCGGGGAATGCTTTATCTCTCTTTCTCTGTCTCTGTCTGTCTCTGACAAGTACACACACCCTCAGGCAAGTTTTTTAAAAAGTCATTGTCAAAACAAAAAGAATATTGATTTATTTTTTAACCGCCAAAGGGTGTGTGCACTTATCCAAGAGACAGAGAGATAGGAGGAGGAGGGAGCGCACCTCAGCAGGGTGTGACTACTGCAGCCCCTCTGCTTTCTCAATGCTATTGGGATTTGGTGCATGCATGCTCATGTATTCAGCAGGGCTTCTAAGCCACCAGGGGCCAAGATTGTCAAACCATGTGATTGACTGAATACGTGATATCTAGTTCCATTAACCACTAGACTATGGGCCAGACCCGAAAATGGAATTTTTAAAATGTATATTACTAACTATAACATTAATATAATTTCTAATGGTGGAGTTATAAAAGAATTTTCTTTAAAGTCAGAAACCAGACAAGGATGCTCTATTACATTCCTATTATTAGTCTTGCCTGGAGATTTTAGCCAGCGTAGAAAAGGAGAGCCATAAAAGGTACAAATGTTAGAAGGACAGGAGCACATTTTTTGTTATTCATAGATGATGTGGCTGTTTAACATAAAACTCAAACTGATGCACACACAATTTGTCTTAACTGAGAGTTTTACAGAGCAATTGCATAGAAGATCAATACATAAAAATATATAATGAACAAAAAGTATATTTTTGCAATTGCCAAAAAAGCGCCTATCAGATACCTAGAAATAAAACTAACAAAAGTTGTGAAGACCTTTATGGAGAAACTTATAAAATTATTAGAAGATATTGATGAGGCCTAAATAAGTGGATAGTTTTGCCTTCTTCACAGTTAAAAAGACTCAATATCATAAGGAAGTCACCCTTCTCCAAATGGAACTGCAAATTCAGCAATATTTTTACCAAAATTGAAAATCTATAAAAACCTAGCTTTTTTTTTTTTTAAGAACTTGACAGGCTGATTCTAAAATGTATATGAAAGATTAAAAAGTTCTAGAATAACCAAGGTATTTCTAAAAAATAATATTAAGGCAATGAGAAAGTATCAGGCCATTTGACAGTTATGTGTACAAGGAAAGTTGGTATTCATGCAGGGATGGATAACTTTACTAATGGAACTTAAAAGAGCATCTAGACACAGCACCATGGAAGCAACCGAGACAACATCACGTGTTCCTGGGGGAAGAGAAGGACGAGTTTAGGAAAGGTGCAAGAAATTGTTTAACCCACAAGAAAAAGAAAATTCCACGTGGCTTAAGAACCTACACGTTAAAAGCAAAACTTTAAAATTTAAAGGAAATATAAGAATACCTTATTTTCTTATCATTTCAAGGTAGGAAAGCATTTCAAAACTCATGAGAAAATGATTGACAAACCTGACTACATGAGTACTACAAACTTGTCTTTGTCAAAAGACATCAGAAAAAGATTTAAATGACATGAACTGGAAGATATTTAGTTGGTAAAGGAGTAGAATATGGAATAAATAGAGCATTTTTACAAACAAATAAAAAAAGGTCAGCTTCATAGAAAAATAGGCAAAAAGACACAAATAGGCATTTTAAGAAGGCGGAAACATGAAAAAAATTTATCTCACAAGTAGTTAAAATAAATATTAGGATCAATTAAGAAGCTATTTATTCCAGTGCATTTGGTATGGGGTGGGGAGATCCCTGATATTAGCAAGTGCCGCTCAGGGAGCTTACACTCATCCAGGAAAACAATCTGGCAGTGCCTGAAGAAGATGAGTATTTGCATAACCCCAGAGCCAGCAATTCCACCTCGAAGTATAAATCCTTGAAAAAAATCTTGCACATATGTACCAAGGCATACATGAGAGTGATCGCAGCAGCATGGTTTATAGCAACCCAAACTAGAAACATATCAAATGTCTGTTGACAGAATAGCCACATAAACAGTGGCTCTCTGTTGCAATAAATTATTAAGTCAATGTGAAAATGAATAAACTGCCCAGTTGAACTTAATAGACTGAATAGAATCCCAGAGACACTGCACTAGGTGAAAGGAAGGAAGTCTTCAAAGAACAAATAGTTTTCACATTATTCTGAAAACCTTAAAAACAGCAATGTAAAAATGAAACAATCTATTCCTCGAGAATTCTCACAGAGATGACAAAACCATTTATTTAAAAAGCAGGTTGGGGAGGGCCAGCAGATGGCGTAGCGGTTGCATGACTGGATTCACACAGGGCCGACCACAATTCTAATCCTCGACCTGTTAGCTTGAAAATTCACACCGGGCCCGTCTCAGATCCCAGGAGAATGGAGGAGAAGGGATTGCAGTGTGGCCATCCTCCCCCAGGAGTGATTTCTCACTTTCCCTCTCATTGTCTTTGTGTCTCTCTTTCTCTGGCGAGCACATACACTCTATGGCAAAAACTTCTTAAAATGAATAAATAACTAATGAAATAAAATAAAAAGCAGGTTGGATGATAAACATAAAATTCAGAGTAGTGATAACTTTTGCAGGCTGGTGATGGACATGCAGGCGGTGGGTAGGCGGTCAAGGAGAACACAGGGTAACAGTCCACAGTGTTCCGATACTAAAGCTCATGATGGGTTCACAGAGTTCCTCTTGCTCAAAAACTATATATACACCACATGTGCAGCACACACACACACACACACACACACACATGTGTATTAGGGGGCCTTCAAA